CCGCCCCGCCCCGTGCCAGGTAACTACCTCCGCGAGGCGCCCGCTCACCCGCTCGGCTGAGGAAGCTGGGGCAGGGAAGGCGGAACCCCGCCCCGTGTCAAGTCTACTCTGCCCCAGGGGCATCTTTGGCTCTCTGCCCTTGCTGGGAGGGACCCATCTAGCACACCTACAGAGTAGCGCTTGTCAGGGGACAAGGAAGCTACGGTATTTTCTCCCTAAGAACCTGGAGCAGGTGTGCTGTCCCTGGGATGAAGCGTGGGAAGTTAGAGTTCCCTTCTTCCAGAACAGTAGTGGTTATGTCCTGGAAAGCTGGGGGACAATGAATGTAACTGTACTGTATCCCTAAAATGTACCAATAAACTCAATTAAAGCTGAAAAAAAAAAAAACAATGTCCAAACGGATGCAATCCCAGTGTCTCTCCAGAGCATTCCGGATGGTTACGAGGGTCTGCTACTTTCTCAGGCACGGCTCCAATCTGCACTTGAGCCTTAATAAGGAGCACCGTGGGTTACTCTTGAACGCGTAATGGGAGTTTTGCGGGTTTTCTTTTTCCGGTACCGGGGATTGAACTCAGGACCTTGCGCTTGCCAGGCAGGCGCAGTGCCACTGAGCTGTATCCCCAGTGTAATTGAAGTTTTTAAAATCCCTTTTTGCGGATCCTTTGGGCCCAGCCTGGTTTTACAGATGAGGAAGCTGTTTCAGATTCACATTCACTCATCCGACTCACGTTGAATATCTACTATATAGCAGATTTATATGCTAGGGCTAGAAAATACAGACCTCAGCAAGAGAAAGTCCTCACCCTCTGTCTTAGTTACTTTTTTCGTTGCTGAAACAAAATACTTGACATTCACTCATTAAAGGAGGAAAGGTTTATTTCAGCTCTCAGTATGTAGAGGTTTCAGTCCATACTAGGCTGGCTCCAAGGCAGGGCAACATGGCAGAGGGGCAGGCAGAGGAGAAACAGTCCATGGCAGAGCAGGCAGGAGGCAGCAAGCAGCAAGCAGTAAGCCTACCTTCCTTCTCTTCCTTTACATTACATCCAGGATATAAGCCTATTGATTGGTGCCACCCACACCCAGGGTGGGGCTTCCATGAATCCACTCCCAGAACTATGCTAATTCCAATAAGTGGACTAATTTAGTACCACATACCACATGCTCTAGATCTGGCCAGCCCCAAAAAGCCACACCTATGAGCACATGAGGCTTTGGGGAATCATCTAGATATAAACCAAAACACCTTCCAAAAGCACTGCTTTTAGTAGGAAAACAGGCATTTAAAAATAAATTATTAATTAAAATGAAAATTTTTAAAAACTTTTCCAAGTTCACACCAAACTAAATACTAACACCCACATGTTGACACCCCTGGCATGTACTTGTTTGGGCTCAATGCCCCCCCAAACACACACACACACACACACACACACACACACGCACATGCACACACACACAAGCCATGCATTGCACTAGCCACTTTTAGCACAAAGGCTAGAAAAGAAGCCACTGGAAGAAAAATGTCTGCTCCACCACAACACTGGAAATTCCAGCACCAGGCCTGCATATTTACATCTCTTTTCCAAAAATTCTTTTTTTAAATGCAATTGTTCCTGGGAAAAGTTGCACAAATATATGCACCAAGCCTTACTGGGAAGCAATAACTCAAAGGAGGAACAAAATTTATCCAGAGTTAAAGACTAATAAAAAATATGTTCTAAAATATGCTTTAATAAGGAGATACATAAACTTTTTTCTACAAATAGTTTATTTTAACAAAAAGATATCCTAAGAAATACCATGGATGATAACAAATATACTTTGGTGTTATCATCAACTAAAATAAGAACCAAGGACAGGAAGAAAGGAGAAAGAGAAAAAATCATGAGATAGTAAAGACAAAAAAGGAAAAAAGAAAAGGAGGAAGCCAGGGATTTAGCTCACTGGTTCCACCGTCTGCCTTGCAAGCACAAGGACCCTAGTTCGATCCCGG